TCCCCATCCCTGGAAGTATTTAAAAGGCGATTTATTTATTTAGATGAGGCGCTTAGGGACATGGTTTAGTGGGCATGGTGGTGTTGGGTTGACGGTTGGACTGGATGATCTTAGAGGTCTTTTCCAACCTTAATGATTCTATGATTCTATGATTCTGTGACCCCTCCCCAAGATCACTGGGAGACTTGGGAGTCTAAAATGAGTCAAACGAGGAAGATTTGAAACCAGTCTTTACTGAACCTGACTGCCAGCAGAACATGTTGGGTATTAGAGAAGAGTTTCTAATAATTCCCTGAGAAGTCGAGATAGTCTCCATTGTTTGCATTCGGTGGTTTATTGCTGACCCTGTTCAACAGGGAAGTCTGGGTCTAGGCCATATTGTGCCTCATAACCTGGCTGGAGCAAAGTTAAAATTTCTGTGTCCTGGTGCATTACCATGGATGCAGCAACTCAGACCAAATCTGAATGTCTTTCTCCATGGAATAATTTACATCAGCCTCTGAATTTAATCAGCCAAAGGCAGGATGAATCAGGCTGTCTGTTACATAGCAGCTTGCTGAATCTCTTCTGTCTAGATAAATTCATCTGGGAGGAAGCATAAATTCTTCTGTTTGCTGAACTCTGATATTACACAGCCTGGATATTCAGTTATGCAACCAGCAGGATCCTTGCTAGCAGAACCACCAGTATTTTTATACATGCATTTGCATCTAACGATGCCACGCCCTCTAGCAATGCATATTTAATCTCCCTCCGTCCAGGGAGGGAACACTGGGACCTGACCAAACATAGGATGAATCCTGTGATTTGATGTCACTGATGATGTACCATCTTCTGGACTGCTTATATTGCAACTTATACAGGAAGATTTTTTTGCCTGCCTGGAAAATCCAGCACCTCAACAGACTAACAAAATGAGATCAGCAGATGTGTGCTGTGTGTAAGATGCATGTGTCCGGCTGTTAGCTTTTCCTACTCTCTTTCTCTGCCAAAATTATGGGCTGCAGGCTTTGTGCTTTTGCTGGCTGTAAATATGTCCAAAAGATCTGTTTGAATGCACTCTGTCAGAAAGGAAGGCATCAAAAAATATAGTCACCTGATATACAGACAGTATCTCAGGACAAAGGAATAGACCAAGGAACCCCATGTACGCGTGTAAGCAAACCTACAGCAACTTGGTGAGCACAGTAGCACCTCTAACTAGCATAGATTATTTTAGAGTGGTGGTATTTCCTTGGAAATTATGTGGCCCTACGTTTAGTTTTCTGTATCACACTGCTGAAGGAACTTCAGCATTTTTCTTCTGTTACAGCAAACACGATCCCATGTTTATTTGTTGATGTATGTGTCCTGGTGCATGCCTGGACCTCAGTGCAGTGACACTGTTATGGCTTAGCAGGCATTTGAATGGCAAACACTAAATTGTGGTGTTGTTCTTAACGCATTTCTTATGTTTCTTTGTTTTGCCCTATTTTTGATGATAACGTTAATCACTGAGCAAAGGAATAAATTTATTTTTGTTTATCTAAATTTTTACAACTTCTGAGACCAACTGTCTGGATCTTACACTGTTTGGTATCAAAAGTAATAATGTACTCAGTACGAGCTCATACGAAGTTAGATGGCTTCCCTGTCTAAACTGCGGGCTCTTCAGGGAAATGTGGGAGAATCCCTAGTGTTCTGTTGGAAAGAGTTAGAAAACTGTATTCATTAAACTAAATTATGATACATTTTTCAAAATGGTGCTAATTAAAGCCACTGCCGTTGCTTAATTGCAATTGGTTTAATGGCATTTGTTTTATCTTTTATATCTGATGGTGTATTTTGGTGTTTAACATGTGCAAGTTTGCCCCTTATTTTGTCTGTGCTTGAACCATCAGGCCTAAAGTACATATCTTACAGCAAAAAGTTTAATGGAAGATCCTAATAAAAAGTTAAGGTAGTAAAAGAAGGAGGCATCAAGCCATGTGCCACAGTGTTGGACGGCAGACAGAACAAAGTTGTACCCTGCAGATGTTTCTATTGATTGGCAGTAAATTATAATGTCGATGGTTTTTGGCAGGAAACCTGGGATGCTCATCTGAAATAAAATAAATGTCTAAAGAGATAAGTTTTTTTGAAACCCCAGGGTGGTGGGAGGGTTGCAGGTTCTGGCCACAACAGAGCACTATCTGCTTGCTTATCTTGTGGACGCTTCTCAACAGAAGTATTTTTGTGTGTTTATGACTTTGCCAGATTTACTACTAATGCTGATATTTCCATTCAAAATAATTCATTTGCGCTACCTCTATGTGCCAGTACATAACAAAAAAAAAATAGATGGAAATAATAAAAATTCCCCGTGTAGAAGTGTGTGCTTGGCTCAGGTTTGACTTGAACCCCCAGAATTTAATTTGAAAACAGCCTTATAAGGTTTTAGTCTTCACAGACTCTGTTCACTCTAGATGTATTTTTGCCTATAAGCAGAAAACAACCTACCTAGAGGAAACACTGACATCTTTAACGCCATCTTGGGTGAAGATAGTCTGTGTGTATTGCGTGACAGCATCTTGACTTAGTTTTATCGATATAACTTCTGACAGTGCTTCTTAAATTGTTTAGAAGCTTTCATATCACCCTGAAAATATGGGCATACAGTATTTGAAGATTTCATTTGTTTAATTTCCTAGGAAAAAGAAACAAAGAAAGAAAAAAGATTTTGCTAGAATGGCTTTGCTATACAGATAAGAGGATTTATAGTGTGAGACCTTGTTATGGGGCACAGGACGCATGAGCGTGCATGCGCGTGTCCACGGGCAGCCTCGAGAAACAAATTACGCCTCAATGTCTGTCAGATGGGGCAGTTAATCATAGCACCAGTGTGCCAGCGCTTCACAGGGTTAAAGCTATTTTTATAGAGATGAGTAGGGACAGTGGCACTCCAGAAAACAGTGTTCATGTCGGTTGTACATGTATAAAGACAAACTAAACCCTCCTCCCACCGGGAGCTTGGTCATGCATTCACAGCTTCAATTAAACTCGCAGTGAAGTTATTCACAGGTTCTGCTTGAATAAGGATCTATCCAATGGCATTTTCTGTGGGGGAATGTTATACTGCCTGTCTATGTGGTGTATGATTGCAGTACAAATGGTAATTTGTTTTCAGTCTTTTTCACAAGTAAGTAAAGATTGGAAAGAGACATAGTTGTAACTGAAGGAAGTGGGGAAAAGCAGGCAGAAAGAAGGTTTGAAGATACGTAAGGTTAATTTGTCTGTGGATTCCATGTTTCTGTTACGGGGTTTCCAGTAATGTAACACCTGGGATATCAGGACTGTTATGTGGAAAGGGTCCAGATCTAAATTTAATAGAATTATATTAACAAGCTTGTATTTAAGACAAGTGTTTTTCATGTTAATTTTAAATTTCAATTTATCTTTTTTTATTATGTTTTTAAGCACCTGACGTTTCAAAGGGAGTTTGATTCTGATTCTCTCAGACACTATAGCTGGGCTGCAGACACCTTGGACAATGTTAACCTTGTTTCGAGTCCCATCCATTCTGGGTAGGTCACTTAACAGGTTTCCTTTATCTTTAAATGTGGAAGTGTATTGTTAGTTGAAGAATACAGCCTGCTGTAATGGCTGATAACATGCCTATTCCTGCTCCAGCGGAAGCCAGTGGCAAAATTCACCCTGACTTCAATGAGGGTGCTTAATAACAGGAGTCAGTCTAGATTCTTGCATATCAAACCAAAACCTTGCTTCTGCACTTAATTTTCTGAATGCCAAAACATTGTAATCCCACAGGCTTCTCTTTAATAGTCCTGTTTTGCTTTTTCCGTTACTTATGCTTTGCTTTTAAGTGTCATAAGGTGATTTTATTTTAATTGTATTAAATTATTTGGAATACAAAATCAGAGGTATAATGTTACGCTTTCTGTTCTTTATAGAGAAAAAAAATGGGGGGCTTTAATTTAAATTCTTATTTTATTTATACCTCCAAACTCCTGCCTATTTTCCAATATCTGTAGTTTGACTTCAGTGGTACTATTCATTTATTTATAAGTAATCACTGTAGTCGTGGTGCTTCTTGACAGTACCACATAGACTCGATTTAAATGCAATAGTAGTAATGTTTGAATGCATATTTTAAAAATTTACAAATAAATGTGTAAGTGAAAGGAATCATTGCGTATGAGATTGTCTAGTATAAATATTTGTTGTTTAATTTTCAAGATCAGGACATAAAATTTCATATCCTTTTTAATTTAGTTCCCCGTTTTGTGACTAATTACGTTCTTATAATGAAAATGAGTGCAGCACATACCAAAAGATTTCAGTTCCAAAATAGCAGCAAGTCCCACAAATCTAAAGCTACAGTCCCACAATACACGTAAGCACCTGCTTCTGCTGAACAGAACTATACAACGGTGGATTTTTGGGTCCTGAGCTGATAAAACACTGCATATGGTCAATGCTAGAGTTGAAATTTCAAGAATTGCGGTATGAAAAGCTGAAGTCTGCTGGTTATTGCGGAAAGGTGTGTCAGCAAAGGTGTGTCGGAGAGCTGGTAGTCCACCCATTTGCATTACAGCAGGATAAAATGTAGTCAAGTCAATCCTGAAATATGTTTAATTTCTTCATAGTCACTAAAAATAAGAGATTCTAGAGTCCTCCAGCTTCAGTAGTTCACTATCCCTTCTTACGATATTTCTTCCCCTGATATTCAACTTAAAATTTCTTTCCTACAGATTAAGCCTATTTCTTGTCATATCCATAGTAGTCATGGAGAACAGTATCTTACTAGTCTCTTAACAATGGCTTATATGTTGGAAGACATGTAATCCTCTTTTTTACAGACTAAAATATCCCAGGTCCTCCTAGGTGGTACTTTCGACATTTCAATGCATTCTTGCTGCTGTCCCTGGCTCTCCTCTCTTCGATGATAGCTTATTTCTAAGCCAGTTTGGGCACCAAACTCCCAAAGACATGTCACCAGTTCTGGCTAGGACAGGATCACTACCTCTTTGGTCTGACACGACACACCTAATCTTAAGCAATCCCACAAAGAGAATTATCATTTTGGTAACTGCAGTTTTTGTTGGCAGATGTTTGTGATCTGCTAAAATCCCTTGGATCTTTTCTGAAATTCTGCAGTCTGGTTATTTTTTCTATGTTTTGTGCTTATATGTTTCGTTTCTTCCCTCTGTTTGCGTTTGCCTTTACTGTATTTCAGTTTGTTGGTTCCAGACCCTTTTTTCATTCTAGCAAGATAGCTTTTAACTCTGATCCAGTTTTCCAAAGACTTTTCAGACCTTCCTTCTGTCCAGTGTTCAAATCATGAATGAAAACATTAGCTTAGTACCTGGCCCAGGACAGCACAGAGAAATGTCCACTTGAAGTTTCCTTTCAGTTTAACAGTAAAGCACTGATAGTATCTCTTTTGAGGTAACTTCTCAGATGATTGTGCACTTACCTTATCTATACTATACCTCAATTGCTTACTGTGAAATACCAAGACAATACATCCACACATCCACTGGGTAAGTTACCCTGTCAAAGAAGGAAGTTAAATTCATTTGACATGAGTTACTCTTGCCACTTATATTTTGGCTCGTTTTTATTTTGAAAACTGGTGGCAGGTGAGTTGTAATCTCTTGATTATCCTTTAGGCCCTTATAGATTGATTGTTGGATAATTTATTCCTGAATATTTCTGGTAATTGGGGTTAGACTGATTGGTCTAAAATTTTCTGGCTCCTTTTCATCCTGACACAAAATAGGTCTGATGTTTGCATCCTGCCAGTCCTCTGGGACAGTATTTATCTGCTCTTAGTTCTTCAGCATGCTCACTAATGGTTCCAACTCTCCAAAACATACATTCTGTGGACTTGGAGTCTTTCGCATCAACTACTTCAGATCTGCTCCCTTTGTATGTCAGTCCCTGCTAATGCAGACATGCCCTTAGCTGCTGCCCAGAGGGGAAGGGCTGCAGACCTGCAGCAGTGGAGCAAACTGTGGGGTCCAGGGGAGGGGCGGGATCTGAGCACCAGAATATTCTCCAAACAGGTATAGCTTTTCTGACCTGTCACGTTTCTCATTTTACAGATAAAGTCCATCAGAAATGATGGTGTGATGACTCAGTTCTTTTGTTGGGAAAAAACCCTCACTCATTGTTTATTTTCTTTTCAATTGTGGTCCTATATTACGATATGATACTGTTTTGCCCGTTATCTTCATCTAGGGGCAATCGACAGATGTTCCCTTCACATCTTCCAGTGCCTCAGCACATCTGATATGCAGAGGATTGTGACTTTTCACTTCTCTTCTGCCATTCTTTTTCTCAAAAGCAACTCCTTTTCTGCTAGTTCACGGTGCTTTGTCCCAAATTCTTTCTGTGGCCATAGGCAGAGGTACACTGGCTGGGGTTGCCTGCTGTCAGCAGCTCTCATGGTCTGGGTCACCCTGCGGCCAGGGCCTGACCCCACTGCTCTTTGCATTCCTCATCCTCCCCCGAGCTCTGCAATGTGCCATGTGGGGGGAGCTCCCCTCTGCAGTCCGGGCTCTCGGGTTGCTCTTTTCCCCATTTACCCACTGTCAGAAGAGAGCATCAAAGTTTGTTCCCATTTCTTAATTGAGGCAGAAGGGGAATTTTGGGAGCAGGATGTGGAGACCCAGCAATGTATCAGTGAAAGGGGGAGAAAGAAGGAATTGTTGGCAGTAATTTTGACTCTTCTGGTTTTTCCCTTTTTTAAGCCAAGACAATGTTTCATGTTTTTCTTTCTGAGTTCAGATAAGTTGTTTTGCCAGCATATATTTTGAACAGGATCCATTGTAAGCAGCACATTGAAATGTGTCATGAATCTTGAGGCCTCTGGAAGGGTAGAGACCCTTCACCAAAATGACCTTCGGCTTTCAGATGTGAGCTTACTTGTGCAACTTTCCCGAACTAAAATGTGGGTGTGCTCTCTTCATGTTGCCTTTTTTAACTCCTTGGTTTTAACTCTTGGCTGAAAGAAAGAAATTAATGTGTCACACTGCCTTCCATATTGAGAAACTCAGAAATACTGAATGCAGTCTTGCAAGGTGGAGTACATCAGATTAATTATAGTTTACTCCAACCTCCTGTACACACAGAAGAACTCTTTTTTGAAAGCAATGTAATGAATGGCATGGACTGATACTCCTTTCAAGTATCCTGCCATACATATCTTTATACATTATACTTTGGAAAATAAACTGCTATAGAAAAGAACTGGTTTTCCATGGCACAGTGGAACATGTTTTGGGAATTAAATAAAGAAGTTGTGTTACAGTAAATTCTCTGTTGACCTAAGCAAATTGCAAATGCTTTTCTCTTCTCCATGTGCTTCTGCATTTCTCAGAGAAATTATGGACTTGTGCTGCCTAATTAAAGAACACTTCCTTTCGGATTTTTTTTCCATGTGTAGCATATTTGATACGACATAGGTCACAATATGTGAAGCAAAAGCCAAATAATTTCTAAAGTTGGCCTTTGAATGTGTTGCTTTTGTTATTTTTCTGGTTGTTACTTTTCCTTTGAGCTTATTATTGGTATTTTCTGTTGCTTGCCTCTAATTATCTTAAATTAATTTTTCCCATTTGCTTTCTAAATTATTTTGCAGCTATTCCTCTCCACTTCCCCAGTATGATTCAAGGTGATAACTCTGTGCTTTCTGTGAATCCTCATTTTCTTTTCTTTTTTTTTAACTCTTTTCCCACAGAGTGTGTGTAGATGTTTGTAGTGCATCCGCCCACATCCTCATCCCTTCCATGTATTCAAGTAGAAATGCTCATTAGCATTTAGCGTTGTGTTTTAGAGATCATATTGTAGTTTCCATTATTAGTGCAGCATTAATTTAGGTAAGCATCAGCTACTAATATTTTTGATAGAAAGTGCATGAAATACTGTTTGGAATTATTGTTATTGTTTTAAATGGTAAATTACTAATTTGAAAACTAAACAAGGAAATAATTAGTATGCTATTGACAATGATTACCTTTATATGGGAGCAATATGCATAAAGGCTGATCTGCTAAAGGTTTTGTCTTCACTGAAGGCTGCAGTGTGGTGTAGACACCAAAGCTGGCTGTAATGGGCTAGTTTCTGTGGTGGGGCATAGACTCATGTCAAGGGTTAATCTACCCTCGCTGTGAGCAGTGTGCATTAGCAGTGCTAAGCCCCAGGTTGCCAAGGCTGGACTGGTATCGGTGCCTGTCATCAAACCCAACTCAGCTATCTCTGCATGACCTTGAAATCTACAGCCTTAGCGTACCTCAGAACTTGGGACCTGATATTTATAGGTACTTCGTTTTAACTTCCATTGTTTTGTTTTGTTTTGTTTTGGGTTTTTTGTATTATTTTAAGTCAGTTCATTTAGGTGCCTACATATTCTTGAAAATCCACCCTGACATTCTTGCATCATTTAAATAGTTTGGATTCAGATAAAACATCTTATCTGAGTGCAAGCTTTAGCATTTTTGCATTAGATGAAAAACACCTTTTTTTATTAATTATGAGCTGGCTTAACATGCCAGTAATCACGTACATGATAGGCGGCTCTCCAAAACATTGCCTTGTACCGAGCCATCAGGCGAAGCCCAGCCTTGCCAAGCTCTCCGGGAGGCCCCTCTCTGTTGCTCTGTGGTGCGCTCCCCAGAGCTGCTGCCGCATCAGCCCTGAAGGGATGCTCCAGCCAGCCACCCCTCCGCCCCACGCACTTCCATGTAGTCTGAAGCGACCCCATCTTCTCTGCAGACAAAAACCATGCACATTTTTAAAAGGCCACCAAAACACCAATTGTAACAGATTCCTTTCAGTATTCTCTATTCGGTGACCAAGGGCTGTGGGTCCCTGCTTAATATTTTACTTTGCTTCATATTAAATTTTAATAGATTGTCTTGAACTCTTTTCACAGCCAGTCACAAGCTGGCTCCTTGCCAGCTCTGAAGACCAGCCATTGGCCTACCCTTCCACATGCTCAGTGGCATCTGCCTCCTACCATCAGCCTTCACCACCCACCGTATAGACCAGTTGCAGGAAGAAAAAGCAACTTAAACATGCAGACAGGCTGATAGTGCTCAGTGAGCAGAGGGGAGAGGGAACCAAAGGTCCAGGCTCTCTAGAGCTGGCATCTCTGCTTGTTACAGCCTTTTGTTAGCAAACAGAAAAGTGTTCCAGTCAACAGAGTTTACAGACATCTAAGATCTTGTGATCTATAAATATTAAGATTAACACAATTTATATACTCTTATAATTTAAAGATTGAGCATATTGTTTTTGACATAGATCTAATATTTGCAGAAAGCGTTTGGTTAGCCATTCAGCAAAGATCATGTCCCCCTGAAACAATTCCTCTTACGAGGAATTGGGATACCCTAGTGGCAACATTTGGATTTGTTCAGTAATGTACAGTGTATTGTACACTGTAGAGAAATGTGGATACAATTTATTTGTATGAAAACTACTGTGAAATATCGTGAATTTTATTCCATGCTTCAGTATTGTAAAGTGTCTGGGGCACAAGAAAAGATAATTTGGGGTTAAGGTCATCTCAGAGGGCTGTTTCACCTCCCCACCTTTACTGATGGATTTTAAGTTGGTTTGAAGAAATGTAGCAATTTCTTTATCTCGAATTCAGTTGGACAACCTTTCTGTCCTGCTTCATACATTTATAGCTTGTGTCCCTACCTGCCTGTCTCCTGCAGACCACTAAATACAAAGTTTTGATTACACTCCTGCTTTTGTGCAGATTTTTCCCACCCACGTCGCCCAGACTTCCGAATGCAGCTTATTTGCAGGCCTGGCCAATGCACGTCAGCTGTTACTTTTTATATCCTGCTGGGGTCAAAAGCAAATGTAACTGTCTTGCGCAAATTCCCATTCATACTTCAGAGCACTTGGGGGCTTTTTTAAAGAATCTTCACAACCCGCCTGGACTATTGGCTCTTACCCTTAGTTCAGTTTACAGAAGGGAACCAGGAAATTGAATGGATTCACCTGTTAATCATGTGAAGGTTTAGTCCTTAAGATCTGGAAGTTTTGGCAACAGCTGCGAAAATAATGAAACCATATAGCAGATGTGCCAGCTATGTCAGTGTCTGCATATCATACAGAAGGAGCAAACAAAAAATGTATTGGCATCAAGACTGAGTTGGTAACTCGTGTCCCTCTTGATACTGGCCTGTTATTGCATCTTCTACCTGAAGCTATTCTCTCTCAGCAGCTTACGGTACAGAGCAAAAGGGAAGGTATTTTGGAGCACCAGAGGAGACCCCCCCATAACTGTTTAGCCCTGCAGGAAGCTGTATGTTTTGATCCCCATAAATTGGAAGGATTTTTGCTGCAGAGTTTTGAAACAGGCTGAAGTCTGGCTTTGGTCCTGGGAGGAGACTCCACTTTCCTGTCTCTGTTCTGTTAAAGACAGTAACACTTCACATATGCAGCTTCTCAGCATTTCATAGATGAAATAAACCATGGCTGTTAATGATTATTCTTGTTAATATTCATTATTCCATTGCTAATAAAAAGAATTTTATTTTAAAATCTACCACTCACCACTTAGAAATATAATTGCTTACCCTTCTATTATTAAATGGAAAATTATGCATTGGAATGACACTGGCAAATGCGATTTTTCTTTAATGTCGCTTTTTGCTAATGAATGTCATCTTCACAGAGGAGTAATGGCATGATTTCCTCCAGAGTGCCATGGCAGCAGCCTAAAGAAAATTATGTACTTGATATTCTTACTCATTCCCCATCAGTGGAAGCCCTTAGTAGCCTGGACTGACTGTCACCCATGGCGCCAGCACTCGCGCTGCCAGCCATCAGGAGTGTTTGCAAATGACACTGTGAAGAGGTTTTGAAGACTGAGATCCCAAAAATAATAAGCATTTTTGATTCTTCTTTTTCTACACTGTCTGGTTCCTTTCTGCATGTGAGGCTAATTACTTTTGTTTATGGACAGTAGAGCTAACAGTAACAAAGAGATGTTTTTAAATTCTAATAAACTGCTATTAATACACTACTTGTGTACTCTTTTAATCCAAATTACTCAGTAGCACCTGTTCATTTCACCATGACGTTGCCAGACCTTTAGCAATTCCTGCTTTTGATAACCAATAGTTAACATGTAAGTATAAGTTTTAAAAGAATCTTCATGTTCTTTTTAGTTTAGCTGGGATCGGGAGGACTTTTCTAATAATGTTTTGTGACCATTTTCATTAACGTGTTTCCTTTTTCCTACAGTTTCCTGGTTAGTTTTATGGTTGATGCACGTGGGGGTTCGATGAGGGGTAGTCGCCATCATGGAATGAGAATAATTATCCCACCACGCAAGTGTACAGCACCAACCCGCATCACCTGCCGCTTGGTAAAGAGGCATAAACTGGCCAGCCCACCACCAATGGTTGAAGGAGAAGGATTAGCAAGTAGACTTGTAGAAATGGGGCCAGCAGGGGCACAATTTTTAGGGTGAGTTGTTCTATGAATTCCATTGTTTACACTCATGTTGCATCTTTCATTTCCTTTATCCTGTGGATCTAAGTAGTTAAACATTGACTCTACCTCATCTGAGCATGTAAGATAGGCTACTTAACTTGAAATATTAAAAAATGCCAACTGGACATTCCTTCCAGAAAGTACGCTTGTATTTTAAGCTTCTGTGATGACTGCAGGGTGGAGCCGAAGGTAAGGAAGGCCATAAAAAGGCCAGGTCCTGCCCCCATCTACTCATGCAACCTGCCTTTGAAGTCAGGAGGAGTCACACGCCTGTAACCCAGAACAGGTTTTGACCCTCTTGCTCGTAGAGTGATGGAGAAATATCACTGTCACAAAAAAGTGTCCTAAAGTCACCCACAAGGACCCAAATATTGAGCTCTGTTCCCTGTGCTGTGGCATGTGCACGGCTCCTGCCGGAGTTGCTGGGAGCTGCCTGTCTCTGTCCCGTGGAGCAAAGCCACTGAGAGTGATGGCGGAGCATTTATTGTAGAGCATCAAGTAGTACAAATGCTAGGAACTGACCTTTTTTTAAGCTTAAAATAGGGGAAACAATCCACTATGATGTGGCGCTTTTTTTTTCCTAATTATAAATTTTGTTCATTACCGTGAGTGGCACCTTGGTGTAAACTGCCGGTTCTGTCGGGAATGACAGTTTGTTCCTAATTTCCCCTTCTCGTTTCTCTTCCTGCTGCATGGATGTTATTCAGTAAACTGCATCTTCCTAAAACTCCTCCCCCTCTAAATGAGGGCGAGAGCATGGTTAGCCGAATCCTGCAGCTTGGTCCACAAGGAACAAAATTTATTGGGTAGGATATGTACGGAAAAGATACAGAATGTCTACAGTTTTTCTTTTGTTTCCAATTTTTTGTTATTCCCATTTTATTTTTTTTAAGTTTTCTAAAGCTTTCAGTTGATTTATGTCACTGAAAGAAAATCATAGTGGCTTGATTTAATATAGCTCTGCTACTACCTTGTGCTTATAGGCATGTAAAATTCACTGCCAGCATTCTGCTTTCATAACTTCTGTGCTTTTGTAATTTTTTAAATTTGAAGCGTTTCAACTGCATCAAATACATTTTAATACACAGTGACAGTCCTTTAAGTTCAACCCTGTGGTAGAGAAGGTATTTACAGGCCTTGAGTGAGTCTGTTTTGGAAGTGCATTTGTAAAACGTGATCACATAAAGTCTATTATTTATGAAAGATTATTTAGAAAAAATGTCATTGAGTGAATAACTTCATTCAACAAGGTTGGAGAAATACTGAGCTTTTCAACCTGCAACAGGCATCTTGATAAAATAAATTTGTAAAGCCAAGTATGCTACCCAAAGGAACTGTGGTGTGTAGTCTAAAAATGTAAGAATGTTTCCGTATATTTTTGACTGTTGTTTTCAAACCCTATTGTGAAATTTATTGCATTAGGTTTTCAAAATATTGGTGAGTGTTTGGTGTTCCAAACCTGTTCAATACCTTCTCACTGAGTATTCTTGTTAATGTCATGCACAAAATTGTGTGGTTTCTAAATATTTACAGAGACAGTATCTGAAATATTAGCCTGCAAAGATTGTACTACAGCATTAGTTTTCAGTTTGTACTCTTTTTGAACTAGAGAGTAAATATCTTAAGCAATGTATTTGAATTTTTGGTATTTACTTGCTGTGCAAAATGGGAGACAGCAGCTACATTCCTATTTCTTGTTAAAGGACTTGAGATTAGAGTAACAGCCTGGGTGTTCTTAAAAACATCTAAAATACGCATTAATTAAACTGTCTTTTTCTATTTTCATGAGAAAAAATACTGTCTAACTCTTCTCCCTTGGTATTTAATGTCCAAACTGGACTTACAACTAGTTTATGTCTTTCCTTGTGATGGCTGTTGTGATTTCCATGCTCAGGTAATTGATTGTTTAATGCACTCAACACCTTGTAGGTGTATAGTACCATAGAAGTGCTGTGTACTTCTCCCATCATGTGATGCTATTTAACTGCGTTATTACAAAGCAGTGAAATCCTTTACAACCTCTGTAGGAAAATAATGATACTGTCTATTTAAATGTCTTAAAGCTGTATAATCCATAATTGTTCACTTACTGTGTGATTTCAGTCGGTTTGTCTTAGCATACTTTAAAATGCATATCTTGCCTGTGAAGTGTTTGGCAAAAGTGTCTGTTTTGTTAAGGAATGGCACATGAAGTGAATGGTGGTTTCTGTCAGTTGTTCACAATAACTGTTCAGTAATGCACTCGCAGTCCTCTGTTGAAGGTACATTGTCTGGTGACATAGATGTATTATTAACCACCTTCTCATTCCCTTTCCTTCCCCCCAGAATGTTTGACAGTAACTAATATAAATGTGGTCGTGATGTTGCTTAACTCAGAGAAATCCATTCTGAAAGGGTCTAAACATTCCCCAGTGATGTTTACAGTGCAGATGTTGCAGCTGTGATTTTGGGCATGAGAACCAGAAAGTGAAGCTAATGAGAAACAACCTCTTGTGTTTCACAGGAGCTGCATCAACAGAGAGCCAGAAGTTTGAAAAGTTTGGGATTTAGTTTGAAGTTTAAAACCTACATGCATGTGCAGTTCCTGCTGCAGTGAATAGCTGTTGCATGCATTTGGATAGCTGGACTGTTTCTGAACTGACTTTGCCCCTTTAAATCCCTTGAGCCAAATCCGAATTTTGACTATGCTAATGCTAATTAAAAGTCAGCAGTGCTGTGTGTGGTGGAGGCAGGTTGGATCACCTATATCCTGGGATAAATGAGCAGGGAAAACTCTCCTTAGCAAAAGTTGTCACTATTTTTTCATGTAGGCAGCTGTTTCAGAAGATTTAAAAATGAGCTATATATTAATATTTTCAAGTTACCTATTAATTATAGTTTAAATGACAAAGGATTGTGCAGCTTTGGCAATTTTAAAAATATTTTTACCGTAACAGTGCTAACTATTTAAAATGACTGTAGTTTTTGTAAGGATTTAACACCCATAGGAAATTAAGGGCAGCGAGGAGATGTAGGATTAAAAATAATATGATTCCTTTTTCTCTAGCCCTGTCATAGTGGAAATCCCGCATTTTGGATCAATGCGAGGAAAGGAAAGAGAACTAATTGTACTTCGAAGTGAAAATGGTGAAACGTGGAAGGAGCACCAGTATGACAGCAAACATGAAGACTTAACTGAAATACTCAATGGCATGGACGAAGGTAAACATTTCCTCAAAGCTTTAGCACACCTTACCTTTGTGCAGGCTTGCTAACATGAGCAGACTAAAGCAATCTAAAGTAAAACAGTGCAGCGATATCTGACTTTGGGGAATACAGTGTGTGTGTAAAGAGAAATTGTTCAGCAGTGGCCTGGAGACATCCTGAAATGAGTGGTGAGTTTTGGTCTGAAGTCTTGCCAAGTTTAAGCAAAGTTGCACAGTTGTTTTACTGCATGAAGTTGAGAATAACATCCCAGCTGGAGGTAAGCATGTTTCTGCTGCTCAGGCAGGGCCACGTGAAGGTCATTCCAAACCAACGATGAAGTGTAAATGTCAGTTATATTAGACTTTTCCACAGATGCAGACCTTGGCCCATAGACTATTCTTCTTTGAAACAATATTGTTAGAGGTTGCCTCCCACAAATACACAACCTGCCTTCCTGATGCCCCTCTGGGAAGTCTGGCTCCCTTGTTTGGCTTGGACGTTGCTGTTTATGTGAGAGTCCCTCAAGATGAGAGGACTCAGCTGTACACAATTCATCAAAAGATGCTATGACAGATGGTCTCTGTGGACACATTGTGGGCAAAGCCAGGCTGGGGCTGCAGTGATCCCTTGGCACCACTGCTTTCTTTTTCTAGCAAGTATTTTTCAATACTTGTGCTGATAAACCATTGCTCGAGCTCTTTGCACCTGAGTGTGAATGAAATAGCTTGTGGTTTGGACTTTGTTTCTCTGTAAGGGTTTATCCACAGGATTTTCTCTGGATAACCTACAGAAAGTCACGGTGTGGTGGGGTAAAAGCTGCAGGAAAATTCTTTCATTATCAGCAAAAGCATTTGAAGCAAATGATCAGGCTGTGGATGGCAGCTATGAGAGGTATCTGTGATCAGGCTCCGCCTTTTGATCTTGGCCTCTCCTTGTTTGAAGAAGGCAGCCTCAGCAAAAGGCATGCTTTGAGAACATGGAAAGGAGAGTAGTGCTGTTGTGAGGGGCTCCCGGGACGTCTGAGATTTAGCATTTTACTGATTTCCTGGTCATCTGGGAATGGGAACAGCAGAATGGGCTTGTGTAGTATTTTCACTTCGAAGTGCTTGAACTGCACATGAGCTTGTAAAAATACAGAGCAACAGCAAAGGATCTGCTTGTTATATGATGATCTATTGTAGCCAGGTGACCCGCCTCGTGGATGAGGGA